TTTATTTTCTTCCTTTACTTTTGTGGTCTAAGTTTCATTCCATCCCTGTATATGAAATTATAGTTATCATGATAGGTTCTGAATTTACAAGTATCATCTAAGGACCTTCAGTATCTTTCAGAAATTCCAGGCTATCTGAATATCAGAATATAAAATATACTCATTATATTTTACCAGAATACATCTCTCTTGATCCTCGAATATTATAGTTGTACTCGTTTGAGTTATCTGTTTTGTGTATATTCATTACGATAACTTTTCCCTTGGAAAGGAGCACATGATCCAGAATGAAGTGTCTATTTTAAGAAGAGTGAAGCATCCCAACATTGTTCTTCTGATTGAGGAGATGGACGTGCCAACTGAGCTGTATCTTGTCATGGAATTAGTAAAGGTATGTATTTTGGAAAAGAAAGAAACTCCTATTCAAGGCACCATGCTTTCCTATATTGTAGAGTTCTTTTCCCTTATTTTCTCCCACCAGCATTCAGTTACTCATTTCTGGGCACTGGCACAGTGGTTAGGAATATTAACTAGAGAATTGTACTGCAAGAGTTCAAGTCCCAGCCTGGGTGCAAATAGGCCCATGACCTTGGGTGTAGCTCTCTATGCCTTAGTTCCCACGGATGTAAAATGAGAATACTAATATGAATAGTATATTCCTATATACTAATATGAATAGTATATAAAGAAGTATGTGCGACACAGAAAGCATTAGATATCAATACAGTTACTGTTGTTATTGTTGTTATAATAACAACAATTAGAAAAGTAGAAAAATTGACCACTTTTTCAGGAACTACATCCAAAGGTACCAACCATTTTATAAAAACAAGCTTTAAACTTTTAGTCGTCAACATAATAGAAAAATAACACAGACTTATTAATAATTTGAATAGTCTACTGCCTTTTAGTGAATGTTGTAAATCTCATCCTGTCACGAAAAAATTAGCGTTTTAGTCTATGCAAGCATAGAATAAAGGAATAGCCAAATGTAGATAATGGTTGAATGTTGGTAAAGATATTTTACCTATTCTGTCTACTTCTGTACATTTAAAAATTTTCAGGAATGTTTAGTTTTCATGAAGTTGCTTTTTTCTCAAGCCTTTTATGTTATGTTATTCTGACTAAAGGTTTAAGTAATTTTTACTTTAGTTGTGGATTAGTGGCACCACCTCCTGCGGCAACTGTTTGCACCGTCAGTGACAGCTTTGGGTCCCAGAGGCCGTGTTTGGAATCACACACCCAAGCTAGTGACTGTGCCATGTGGGATTTTCTTTTTTAAAGATTTAAGATAAGGAGAGCATTTAATCAATGAATCTGTTATGATATAGAAAAATGTTCATTTCTAGGGCCTTTAAGCTTTCATTTTTCAGAGTTGCTTCACTTTAGATACGTTGGCATTTTTCTTTTTTGCTTAGTGGTTATTTATATTTATAGGTGAAACCTATTTTTTTCCTGTGCATCATCTGAGGACCTTCAACATCATTTGGCAATTCTAGTTAGAACTTGTTTCTTTTGGGACATGGGGGTTTGTTAGCAGTGACACAAGGTTATTGCCATGTTCGAGGCTGAGGGAGGTGGACATGTTAAACTGTTAACTCCAACAAAGAAAGGTCTATTCTATGTATTCAGAAGATTTTCATATTGGTACTTTATTATCAAATTATCTTCTTACCAACATGGTAAATTACACTTTCTCTAGCACCAAGGATAGTTTTTTTTACAACAGCATTAATTTTAGACTAACAACTTGAAACCATTCTTATTGCCCCTCTGTGTGCTATTAAAAATTGATTAACCCTGTTATTATTGATAAGCTGGTTTTTGGAAAGCTGAGACTAAGTTAAATTTGAAGACGGCAAAGGCTCAAGTGTTGAGACCACGTTTTGTGGGCAATCGTGATCTGATTGTCGATCATATCCGTAGGTGATTCTAGTAGGGTCCTGATTGTACTTAACTGCCTTTGTGAATTCTCCCTGCATCACCAAGGTATCCTGACAAGGCCAGGGAGGGTCCATCCATGGCCCTGCACTGGAACTCCTCAATCGTGCCACTAGCTTGTACCCTTAAACTTATTCTGACCCAGAACTGCACTGAGGCCAGGTCTGGAAGCTTCCCAGGAAGGGAAGGCCAACCCTGGGCTTGACTCGAAAGGCTCCCATAGCCTTTCGAGAAATTTAGATGAGGCTGTGCTTCCCAAATCCTACGTGCCCAGTGGTGTGCCAAAGAGTGCCTGAAGCTATGGGACAAACAAGGCCTGTGTTCTGGAAAACAGTGAAGTAGCAGTTCTAAAGAGGGAAATTCCATGATTATTAGGAACAGGACTTTAGACTTCTGCCTGCCCAGAGTGCTGCACATGCAAACTGCTTCTGTGTCCGCGGAAGGCAGCCTTGTGGGGGAGGTGGCCCTGCTGTTGGACCCTGAGGGATCAACAGGCGCTAGGAAGGCAAAGGGGAGTGGGGGGGACACTCCAGGAAGGGGGCTCTGGGGAGGACAGATTTGGAGCACAGTGATCCCAAGGAAGAAAGACCCTACCTGGGGCACAAAGGGAACTGTCCTGAAGTCGTGGCAGGCAATGGAATTGGACGAAGTGGAATGAGGTTGTGGGAAAGGATTGGTGGTTTCTTGAAGAGGGGAAGAAAACAGTGACATAACGTGTGGGAAGGTAACAGTGGGTGTGCGGGATGCTTTGCATAAAGCCGGAGAAGGAAGCAGTGCGGCTGCGAGACCACACAACACTCCGGGGATGATGCGGCGGGAACGTTCGCTCAGACGGTGCGGTGGGTGGCCCAGAGGATGTGTGTGAGAAGTGCTGACTGCTTTGTTGAGGGTGAAGAGGAAAGGAGATTACAGGATGCCTGGAGCCCGGATAACTGGGACAATAGTGGCGTCTTTGCAGGGTCTCCGTGTGCAGCCATGCATGTCCTGCCGCGTGACTCCAGGGTGCTGTTCACGGAGACCACAGTGACTGCCCTGCCTCCCCAAATGGTGCATGGCAGCCTTGCCTTTGAGAGAAACAGGAAGTTGAGGGAGAAAGTGTTCATTGTGAAAAAAAAATGTACATGCTAGTTTGAGAACTGCTGAGGCTTAACGACCAGTGAGAAATCTCTAGAGTGGAGATTGCGCAGGGAAGCAGAGGGTCCAAGCCGGATGGTCGTATTCGAAAATATACAAGGGCTTTATTTTGCTTTTGCTAAGAAAAATCGAGTCCCTTAACACACCAGGTAACGAATGAACACGGTTGGTTACTGTGTTCAACTGCTTGGCACGCTGTAGGCAAAAATGAGGCAAATACTGTTAGTAAATCAGACCCAAATTCTCTGAAAGGGTTTCCGATAAATGGAACCGAGATCGGGACCTAAAATCATTTTGTTTCACCAAATAGCAGTATGTTAGCAAGGATCAAGGGAAGCAAAAGTTCAGATGAATAACAGTCATAGGAAACTTTCTCTGAACGTTCTCCACTCTCCCTCTCTGCTTTTCTCTCTCATCTTTGGAATGACAGTTTCTGGTCCTTTTCTCCATTCCCTACAAAGAAGTGCAGTATTGAAAAAGAAAACACTACACCCACTCCCAGAGAGCTAAATCTAGAATACGAAGGGGATATGTGTGTGCACGTGTGTGTGCGCACGTGTGTGTGTCTTCATAATTTCACAAGGCAGTAGAACATTTTGTTAAGTGTGCAGTTTGCAGCGTTATCCGTTTCTCATTGTGGGAGGCTGAGGATGATGAATTTGAACTTCAGCTGACGGTAGGTTCAGGACAGGTAGCACGTGCCTCCTGCTTCCCCACATGTCACAAGGCCTCTTCCCTGGAGACCCAGCTCCGCCGCCTCCTCCCTGACTGGGGGCGGTGGAAATGGCCACGTGTCTCACGTGTCCTCACCCCGCTCCTTTCTTTGAGCTCTAGAGGAAATGTGGCTGGCTTGCACCATGGGCAGAGGAGTCACCGTAAAGACTTCGGGGCTTTGAGAGGGAAGTGGCAGGGAAAGCCCTTAGGACCCTGAAGATTCTGGTCCATTCTTCATTTCCTTTCTCGTGTGTCAGTGGCCTCTGCAGGTGGCCCATTGGCCCATCTGTTAATATGCTGCTCTGCCCGCTGCTCTGTTCTCAGGGAGGAGACCTTTTCGATGCCATTACTTCCACTAACAAATACACTGAGCGAGACGCCAGTGGGATGCTGTACAACCTGGCCAGCGCCATCAAATACCTGCATAGCCTGAACATCGTCCACCGTGACATCAAGCCAGAGAACCTGCTGGTAAGAGAAATTCCCACTTCAGGGCATCCGGAGTTCCAGGCACTCCGAAGGGAACGTGAATCTTTCTTTCTTTTCTTTTTTTTTATTGTATTTTGTTTCTTCTTAAAAATGTTTACCTTAAAAGCTAATTTATATACAACACTTTTATGTTAGAAAGATTTTATATGGTAAAAAAGGAAGCCCTTTTAGACTTTCTCATCATCTCTCAACTTTGCATCTCAATAATATGATCTAAAACCTAAGAGAAATGAATCATAATGGGTTTTAAAGACACCAGCCCCTGGGCATAAAAATAATCATGAAGGAGACTGATTTCAGAAAACAGAGTGGCTAGTTGGTTTGCTTTCTGTGAACTCTGTATCTCTGGAGAAATATTGAGAGAGTTTTTCTAGCCCAGTTACTAAGGGGACAGTATAGAAAGGAGGGAGGAGGCAGAGACTAGGCTTGGGGAACTGTCGTTGGTAAATACGGGAGTGACATAAATATTACTGGCTCTTCAGGCTGGAATTTTAATGAAATATATGAAATTCTCCCCCGAAGATGCTAGTTGGTCTTTTACTTTCATGATTCACCCGTGAGCATCATGTATCACATGTGATTCCCGTTAGTCTGCCCATGTCTTCAGAAATCTGGGAGTTGAAGATTCTCTTTCCAAAGCAGTGTTTCTCCAAGGGTGGTCCAAAGACTCCCTGAGTCACAATTACTCCCAGATGCCTGTTCAAAATGCAACTTTCTGGGCCTCCATGCAGCCCTACCAAACCAGAATGTGGTGGCTGGTGACAGTGTGCAGAAATGCACATCACAACCAGCTCTCCCAGGTCATCTGCATGCACACTCAAGTCTAAAAACCAATGAGCAGCCCCACTCCCCCTACACGGATAAAAGGGGAAAAGATCTGCTATTATGAAGAACCACCGATGTGCTCAGCCCTGTGCTGAGGGCTTTACTGTCATTATCTCATGTAATCCTCACAACAGCCATATGGGAGAAGTTCTAATACTGTCTCATGTCACAGAGAAGAAAACCGGGTACCTTGAAGTTAAGTGACCTGCCCAAGGCTGTAACAGCTCATAAGTAGAAGAGCCAAGATCTCAATCTACTTCTGACCTATTCTAAAGCCCAGGCTCTTACCTCTAGACTGCAGTAAACTCTGAATTAGGGAGAGGTTAATTCAGTGCTTGCCATGTGCCAGGGGACGAGAGCGACACATGTCTTCATGGAGTTGACGTTCCAGCAGGAAAGACAGGCATTTGAGATAAATACGCACACAATTAGTTCATTGCAATTATGTTGGTAATCTTGTAGCTACTGACTTATAAAGGCAGCCGAGGTCAAGTGACAGAGCCCGACTTAATTGCACCTCAAATTCCACATGTCCGCAGTAGCCTAAACATTCTCTTCTGCGTAGTTGCCTCCGTAAACTGCAGCAATTTTCCTCGGTCTGCATTCATTACTCCTATGTCCTGAATCATGTAGGATTGTCTCAGGGGAACAGGCTTACAACTGGGCCTTTGTTTAAAAACTTCTCTAAGCTCTAAAACTTCAGTGATTGGAAATCAAAGTTTCATTTCCCTTCTCTTTCTTTGCAGTTGAGTTTTGTGTACCCATCGCTCACTTGCTCCTCACCTGTGTTACCTAGTTCTGCAAATGCCGTAAATGACTATACAGCAGTGTACTTTTACTAAAATTACAATTTGCAGGATACTTTTAAAGTATTGTGCTCATTAGAGCATATTTTAACTTTAAATTACCCAAGAAGAAAAAAATCTCTCCTTTCTTTTTCCTTTCTTATCTGAAATATGTAGAGAAACCATTGCAGTCATTCCTAACATAGTTTTAAAGTATCTGTATGAAAAACTAAAGAGATTCTATTCTCCATTATAGTAATTGCTTATGATGGGGGGGGGGCGAAGGTTGGTGAATTTTGCAGGGATAAAGCTATTATAGGATAAAATAGTTAGAAGAATAGAATAAGTTTAGCAAAATTAGGATGACATCATTAATTGCACATGAGACCTCTGTTAATTTCACATTCTGTTGAACTTTCTGTGGAAATAAGAGAGAGGTAAACCTTCACATACTCAGGATTTATAGTTGGGTGGACAGAAGTTCAAAGCCAAGTAGTTCACGGTCTCATGACCTTGAACAAGTTGCTTAACTCCTATAAGCCTTCTTTGAGAAGGATTTTATGAAGATAAAGAGACAACACGTAACTATTAGTTCCCTTTTTTATTGCCTCTTTATTTGTAATAAAAGTTAAATTATCCCTAAAAATAAAACTGCTTAACAATAACATTGTATTTATGTA